TAACGTACACAGGTCATAGCTCTCTACGCCAACAGCAACCAAGCAGAGAATCATATCAAGAACTCAACCTCTTTTATAATAGCTGCAAAAAAAAAAAAAAAGATAAAATTCTTAGGAATATACCTAATCAAGGAGGTAAAAGACCTCGCCAATAAAACTACAAAACACTGCTGAAAAAAATCATAGATGACACAAACATATGAAAGCACATCCCATGTTCACAGATGGTTAGAATCAATATCGTAAAACTGACCATACTGCCCAAAGCAACCTAGAAATTCAACAAAATCCCCATCAGAATACCACCATCATTCTCACAGAATTAGAAAAAACAGTTCTAAAGTTCATATGGAACCAAAAAAAAAAGCCCACATAGCCAAAGCAAGAACAAGAAAAACAAAAAAAAATCTGAAGGCATCACACTACCTGATTTCAACGTATACTATACTATCACTATTGAAGAACTTACTCATGTAACCAAACACCACCTGTACCCCAATAAATTATGGAAAAATAAAAAATACAATATAAAATAAAATAAATATACTGCTGCTAAGAAAAGAAAAAATATTCTTTTGAAAGCATTTATTTTTTATTTTATTTATTTAATTTTTGGGTAAAACCATATTGCCTTTATTTGGCTAAATTATAAAATACAAAGTAACTCAGAACAAATTAATACCAGACAGGAAAATTACAGACTGAACTCCAGTTGAAGAAGTCTTGTCTGTGGACTCAAATTGGTGATAGGCAAACCTTCACAATGAAGCTACTAGTCCCTTCCAAGACTCCTTTGGGTCCTCAATACAAAACAACCCAACTAATCCGGGATATGTGTTTAAACAGTCAGTTTCCCTCCCTCAAAAGGCAGGAGGGCCCACTTCAAACCTACAGGAACACAACCGGAGACATCCCAGTGTTAAACCTGCTTCTGTTTTCTACCTCGATTTGAGTACTAACATAAAACTTTGGCAGACAAAGTTCTTTCTTCTTCAAGAAAATTAATACTAAATGAGAAAATCCCAGTAACATGTTCTACTTATTTATTTGAAAAAATAGAATCTCGGGTCCACGATTTATCCCACGACAATCTATATTATGGGAGAAAGCAAGAACAATCATTGTTATGACTTTGAAAAATATAACCTTTAAAAATACTTACATTGGTAAGCTTAAAAAAAAATCATTAAACCCAAACCGTATCACCAATTAAATACAATTTATTTAAAATAAAAACTTTCCCACAAAACAAATTGCATTTCCAGAAATTTTCACTGATGAACTTTATCAAACATTCATGGAAGAAAGACGACTAATCTTAAACCTTTTCAACAATAGAGAAGGAGGTAACACTGGTCCTCTCATATTATAAAGGCAGGGTAGTCCTGATACCAAAACCTGACACAAATATAGTACCAAAAAAAAAAATTTAAAGATAAATGTTCTTCATGAACAGTGATGCAAATATTCTTAATAGAATATTAGTAAACCAAATCCATCAAAATGTAAGAAGGATGGTTTAGAAAAGTGGGTTTTATATTAGGAATACGATAATGATTTAATATTTGAAAATCAGTAATTTTATTCATCACATTAATAAGAGTAACGTCAGATGATTATCTCATAAAATAGAGACATATTTGTTAGAATTTAACTTACAATTATGACAAAATCTCTCAGAAAAATTAGGAATAGAAGAAACGTATTTAATGTGATGAAGTGTCCCCATGAAAGCAGAGCTACCATCATACTTAATTCTAAAAGATTCAATGAATGCTCCGCTAGAAACAGGAAAAACACAGAGATGTCTCCTCTAGTAAGTTCTGTTGAATGTTTCATTGGCAATCCTAGAACGTGCCATTATACAAAACCCTAATACACCTAATGAGTTAATTTGTAAGAAAGAAAGATAACAGGCCAGTACACAAATATCTGTTGCATTATACAGTTTCTAGTCTAATTTGAAAATGAAATTTTAAAATTCAATAAATAATAGACTAACCATGGAATTATTTAGAAATAAACAGCAAAATTATGTGAGAGCTTCACATTGAAAACTACAAAATATTGTTGAGGTAAAAAGGTAGAGAGATACTCCAGGTTTGTGATTTGGAAATTCATCTTTACTAAAGTATTCTTCTGAAATTATCCTATAGATTAAAGACATTGTCAATGATTGTCCTAACAAGTTATTTTTAAGGGGTCTGAATTGCCAAAACAATTCTATAATTTGTATTAAAATTCAAAAGCTCCAGAAAATTCAGAATGTATTTTTTTCTAAAATAAGGAAAAGTGTTGGAAGATTTATATTAACTGATTTTGAATCTTAGTATAAAGCTGACATAATCAAGAAAATGTGATATTTATGTAAGATTTGAAAATGGATTTAAAAATAATAGAGATAACAATAATCAGCCTTCACATATATAGTCAATGTTTTTGACAAAGATATTATGATAATTAAATGGGCGTGGGACAGTGGGGAAGAAAATCCTGTCAATAAATAGCGTTGCAACAATAGGATAAACATATTAAAAAAACAACATGGGCCCATTATTGGGCTCTATAAGGTGTTGAATAGTGTACCTCTCAAATTTATGATTATCCAGAACCTTAAAATGTGACTTTGTTTAGAAATGGAATGTTTAAAGATATAATCGGTTGAGTTGAGGTCATACTGGATCAGGATGAGTGTGCCCTAAATACAATATGACTAATGTTGTTGTAAAAAGAAGGGAGGAAACACATAGCCACACAGAGAGAATATGACTATCAAGAGAGAGACTGTAGCAATGTGACTCCAAGCCAAGGACAATCAAAGATTGCTGCCAACCAACAGAAATGCAAACAAGGCAAGGAAGTTTCTTCCACTACAGCCTTCACAGAGAGCATGGCTCTGTGGAAACCATGATTTGGAACTTCTGGTCTCAAACTGTGAGGGATTACATTTCTGTTGTTTGGAGACATGGCATCTAATTGTGCTCCTTTGCTGCGGCAGGCCTAGTAAACTAAAATCTCCAACTGATACCATGCACGATAGTAATTTAAGATGGATTGCAGACATAAACATAAAAGTTGGAAACATAAAGTATCTAGAAGAATCTATAACAATATCCTCATTACCATGGCTTAAAGAGAGATTTCTCAGAAAGGACATGAACAGCATTAATGACGTTTTTTAGAAAAATGATAAATTAGACTTTATCTTCTTTGTAAATTTGTGTTCAGCTAAAACTGCTGCTATGATGATTTTATTTGTTAACTTGACTGGGTAATGGAGCTCCCAAATATTTGGATAAACATTCTGGGCATATTAGTGAGGGTGTTTCAGGATGAGAATAACATTTGAATTGGTATGCGGAGTGAAACAGATTTCCCTCCCCAATGTGGGTAGGTCTCATCCAATCCTTTCAAGGCCTGAATAGAACAAATGAGTGAGCAAGAGGAAATTTGATTGCTCTACCTGAAAATCTTCCAGTTGGGACATGAGTCTTTTCTCATCGTCAGGCTAGGACCAACATTTATACCATTTGGCTTTCTTAAATCTCAGGCCTTCAGAGACCAAAACTGACTTTATTGGCTCTTCTGATTCTCAGACGTTCAGACTGCAGATCTTGGAACCTTTCGTTTTTTTCCTTTTCTTTCTTTTTTTTTTTTCTTTTTTTTTGAGACAGAGTTTCGTGCTTGTTACCCAGGCTGGAGTGCAATGTCGCGATCTCGGCTCACGGCAACCTCCGCCTCATGGGTTCAGGCAATTCTCCTGCCTCAGCCTCCTGAGTAGCTGGGATTACAGGCACGCGCCACCATGCCCAGCTAATTTATTGAATAATTTTTAGTAGAGACGAGGTTTCACCATGTTGACCAGGATGGTCTCGATCTCTTGACCTTGTGATCCACCCGCCTCGGCCTCCCGAAGTACTGGGATTACAGGCTTGAGCCACCAAGGCCGGTCGGAACCTTTCATTTATCATAACTGTGTAAGCAAATTCTTTATGATAAATCTTTTCATCTATTCTTATATATAATAAGTGTCTTCATATGTATTGTATAGGTTGTGTTTCTCTAGAGAAAATTGACTAATATAGGGACCTTTAAAAAAATACCAGGACAAGTCACAGAATGGGAGAAAATACCTGTAAGCACATATTTGACAAGTGTTTTAGCTAGTATATATAAAGTATGCATACAACTCAATAATTAAGAAAAAATGCAATAAAAGATAGATTAAAAACTTTAACGTATATCTCACACAGAGTATGTTACTGGCCAATAAGAACATAAAATGGTCAACATTATTAGTTATAAGGGAAATTCAAATAAAATTATAATGAGATATCACTATAAAATTATAAAAATAGCTGAAATTTAAATGTTTCACAAATCTCAAATGCTTGTGAGGATGTGGAACAACTAGAATTCTCACGAATTGTTACTAGGAGTATTTGCTTGGGAGTAATGAAAACGTAGTCCCAAAAACTTTGAAGAAGAATGTTCAAAATAATCCCTCCCACTCAGCCTCCAAAATGCGGGATGACAGCTGTGAGCTCCCTTGCCTAGTCTTCAGCATCAGTTCGATGTTTGTTCTTCCTTCAGTTTTAGCAGAATTGGTGTTGCTCTGATAGGAGCTCTTTTCAAAGTGATGTTTATTCTTCCTAGTGACTCACACTAGATATTGATCAGATATGTTATAACAAGTTACTGTGTTGCAGCTTTTTAAAACTCTCCACAATAAAACAACTGGAATTGTTTTTAGGTATATAAGCATCTGATTTACTTTCCCAAAAGAATATTAAGATGTGTCAAGAAGTTGTTTTAAATAGCCCAAGCTTCCAAATTTAAATACGAAATAAACATGAGTCTGCTTTTTTTTTTTTTTTTGCTTCCAATGAACACTTTATTGACAGAATTAAGGAAGGCCCAAAACTTTAGGGCCGGTGGGGGCGGGGGGGGGGCTGGTGCTTTGGGGCTGGGGGTTGGTGGTTTTGGGGTGGGGGGGGAGGTTTGGGGCCGGGGGTTTTGGGGCCAGGTGGGTGGATGAGTGGACCTGCCAGGTCCCAGGATGCTGGCGTCGTCAGCAGCTAGTTTGGGCCAGGAGCCACTTGAGAGATGAGTATGTTTCGGAAGAGGGTGCTCAGCAGCCCATCATTACGAATCACCAGGTCCAGCAGCCGCGGAGTGATGATCCTCTCTCCTCCATTGTTGTCAGCCTCCTCGGCAGCCAGCTCCAGGATCTTGGCCGTCAGATATTGGATGACAGCAGCAAGGTAGATTGGCGCGTTGTCACTCAGGCGCTGGGCGTAGTGGCCTTCCCACAGACCTCGCTCCATCTGGCTAACGGAAAATATCAGTTCCGCTCGGGCAGTGCGAGAGCGGGTATGCCCCCGGCGGCCAGCAGCAGAGGACCCTCTGCGGCTTCTCCTCTCCGACATGCTGGGTATTGGGTGCCCTGTCTCAGCTCGGCTTGCTCTAGCACAAGTTGCCTCTCAAGATGACAGTTACTGCGACCGGTACTGTGTATCCTAGCGACCAGGGCCAAGCCCCTCATTGGCTGCGGAGCCGAGTCCCACGCGCATGCGCATCCTCGCGCCACCACATCATCACATGGCAACGGCCTAGCACACACGTGGTGACAGCCTCACCAGGGACACGCCCATCAAGTGACCTCATGGATTTCCCATTGGCCCCGAGGGAGCAGGCCTGGGCCTAGAAGTGGCTGGAGGGCTGTGGGGGTGGAGGTGGAGGTGGAGGGGGCGGGGCATGGGAATCCTGCTGGGGACCTTCTCTTTGCCAGTGGGAACTGTCCCTTTCTACTGGATGGGGACACTGTGGGAACACTATGGGCTGGCAGGGGGAGTTTGATCGGTACCGCTCCTTCACAATGTTGCACATCCATCACAACCACGTAGTTCCAAAGCATTTTCAACACCCAGAAAATGAACGTGAACCCTTGTACCTATAAGCAGTCATTTCCCACACTCCTCCTTCCACAGCACTGCTACAACCCCCGCACCCCATCCCCCACCACACAAGTTCTCCATAGTCCCTCAACCACTAATCAGTCTGCTTTCTGTCCATAGAAGTTTGCCTATTTTGGAGATTTCCTGTAGATGGAATCATACAACCAAACGTGAGGCCTTGTGTGTCTGGCTGCTTTCACTTAGCATAATGTTTTCATCAGGGTTCATCCATATAGAAGCATAAATCAGTATTTCCTTCCTTTGAATGACTGAATATTATTCCGTTGTATCAATAGGCCACATTTTGTTTATCCACACATCAGTTGATGGACAAGTTATTTCCGCCTTCTGGCTATTGTGAATAGCACTGCCATGAGCATCTGTCTACAACCTTTTTGTTGAATATCTGTTTTCAGTTCTTTTGGGTCTATTTCTAGGAGTCAAACTGCTGGCTCATATGGTAATTCTGTTAAACTTATTGAGGAACCACCAAACTGATTTCTACAGCAGCTGTAATTTTTCACATCCAACAATAGTGCATGAGAGTCTCAATTTCTTCACATCCTCACCACAACTTTTTTCTGTTTGCCTCATATTTAAACACAGGTTTTTTTTTGGTCCCCTTTTTTTTTTTTTTTTTTTTTTTAGATAAAGTTTTGCTCTTCTTGTCACCCAGGCTGGAGTGCAATGGCGCAATCTCAGCTTACTGCAACCTCCACCTCCTGGGTTCAAGCAATTCTTCTGCCTCAGCCTCCCAGTAGCTGGTGGACCCTATTGTTTAGTTTGATGACATTCTCTTTTTCTATGACACATTTTAATATACATATATACATTTCTTTTCTTCTACTAGGATTTCGTATCTGTTGAGATAAAGTCCCGTATCATTTTTTCACTTCACCAAAAATGTTTTTGCTTATTCTTCTACAAGAAATCATAAAGAATTTTTAATAATTTTAGATCTTTTAAATTCACCCTTTATGTTTATTCTTGATTTAGAAAGATGTCAGCTGAGACAAAAAGATAGTCAAAACAGATGTTTAAATAATTCAGCAATTTAAATTATTACTATCCTGATGTAATGGTTAACAATTTATTTTTTATAAAAAGTATATCATAGGGAAAGCAGTACATTCTTTGAGTCTTTTCATGGAACATTTGACAATTTTTCATACCATAGGAGTGCATCAGACCTCACTCCCACACTTCAATGCTAGCAAAGTGTTACTTTTAGAACATGTTTATGCAGCACATTATGCCTTAGCATGGTTATTGTGAAAACGTAAACTTAGGTTAACAGGAAAGATAAATTTAGTAGCAATCACAGTTAACTGCCTGCCAAAAAAAAAAAAAAAGATGACAGTGGAGGAAGTCGTAGGTACATGACCTAACCTAGCACGTATTTTACCTTTCTCTGCTATAAACTTTGGATGAGATTGGGTGACTTGAAGTGCTGTGGTAAACCCAAATGATTATAGAATTAAAAAAAAAAATCTCTCACAGATGTTAAAAGACTAAAATGAGAACATAAACAAAATTTAAAGCAGAAGCAGCAATTATTCAAAATAAATTTCTCTGAATGAAAATGTAAAGAAGAGAGAATACAAAAAGACTAGCAAAGGTAGTTCCATAAAAGCACCCAAAGGAGACATTGACTGCTAAAGGAAGAACACAACTTGTATGAGTTTTGGTCTAGTTAATCCACCACTGTATAATCTCCTCCTTTTGGCAAAATCATTATCCATTAGATTTTAAGTTCTAAGTGAAACTGAGTAATTTCTAAAGCTATGACTCTTATATATTGGTACTATATTATATTGGTACTATATGTACCTAGTAGTAAAGTTTAATGTATTTACTATTATTTCACATATTTCCTGGACCTTTCCCAAACTTTTTTTAAAAGAATTGTGATAAAGTAAGAAAACTAAGTATGTGATAAACTACCAGGACTTAAGCAAACCGAAAAAAGTGGGCATTAATGATCCATATCAGCTCTATTTTATTGGAAGTCTCCCCTATGTTATTTTAGATCATCAGTGACTTTGTACCAAAACCAGAAGTAAACCAAACAGGTAAAAAACACACTATAATATTAAACAAAGTAAAAAGAGACATATTGCTTTATGACTTCTTGGTAATGAGCTGACTATTTCCTGGTACATTAGTGTTCCCCAAAATATTAACTTATTTTCCAAGAAAATAAGAGAAGAATTGCATGTCGTGTATTAAGGGTGTCCACAAAATCCTCAGAAACACCCTAAATGCCTTAAGCAGTCCTGTGCAAAAGAACTGTTTAACTCTATCATGATATGTTCCTCTTTTTCTAGGAAACACATATTGCTAGCCCACAAAACAAAGCTTAGGAAATCTTGCCATACAGTCATTTATTATCTACATGGAAAGAAGCATTATTCTTCTCACTCAAAAGGAAAGAGTTAAATCACTAATCTGGAAAAATAAAAGGAATAACAAACATGAGCTAATTATCAACATATACTAGGAAATATACTATGGTTAATTGGAAATGTCATTTGAGCCCCTTGATTTATTCTAAAACTAAGTTGAAATTATAATTTAAAAAGTAAAGGGTTATCTATTTTAAAAGTGTATATCAATTTAAATGGTATTAAATTGAACTGTAATCTGCTTGCCTAGTGCAATAAGATCAGATATCCATACTGAGGTTACCTCCAAGCCATTGGGGAGGTTGGAACTTAAGCACTAGCTGCCCGATCCTCCTATGCAGGACACCAAGCAAGGAGAATCAGGCAGCTAATGCGTAAGTCCCAACCTCTCTGATTTCTAGCAAGTAAGAGTTTTTAAAGGCGGAATTAAATTTCATGAAAGCAGAAGATACAGGCAAAATTGTAAATCTACACATAGAGGTTACATATTGCTTTTTGCTTAACAGGGCAGAGTATCTAGAAGCAGAGGCTCACAGGGGTCCTAGGTGGATTCAACGATTTTCTGATTTGCAGTTGGTCAAAGAAGAAAAACTGTTTAAAGGTTTGGGGTCTAGAGAAAACAACGTTAGCTTTGCCTCCTGGGTGTGACTCCCTCCAGACCCCAAAAGATGAAATTAAGAACAATGAATGGCGGTCAGAATTCAGTCTTCAGGTTCCCCTTATCTCAGGTCTGTGTGCCAGTGGATTGATTTGGTGGGGTTCAGGGTTTTTTAAAAACATCTCAGAGACATATTTTAAGATGTTATCTTTAATTTCTGTAGGGATTCAAACATGCTGTGATGCTGTTACATAGGTAGTTAGTCAGACATGAGCAGGGCAGGAGAGCTGCTATCCCTCACCAAGAATGACAGGCAACCATCAGGTGATGGTCAGGTGGTTGTTAAACTGTCTCTCTAGAATAATAATTGGCCACAGCCAGAGCCAGGGAAAGACAATCTCCTAGTAGATGGAAAACAGCTGAAACTGGTGATCAGCAGCTTCCCAACAAGATTTCAAAAGTTGGGTGAGGGGGCTCAAGCATGTGCCCTAAGAGGCAAAATGGCAGAGCTTTACTGGTATGTGACCTTCCTTTAGGAACGCTCGGCTGGTCAGAGAGAGTTGCCTCAAGTGAGCTTGTGCACAACTTCAATAAATTCAATATGCATGTGGCTCCTCCCAAGTGTTGGTAGGACACTGTGCATGCAGACAACCTGTCCAAGGAAACATCAGGGAGAAGAAACACAAACCTTGAAAACATGGCAGCCAGTGTACACAGCCCCAAGTCAAAGGTCAAATAGCACATTTGAATCTTTCAAGTACCTGCTTGACTATCTTCCAAGTGTACTTTACTTGCTTTCATTCCTGCTCTAAAACGTTTTAATAAACTTTCACTCCCGCTCTAAAACTTGCCTTGATCTCTCACTGTATCTTATGACCCTCGGTTGAATTATTTCTTCTGAGGAAAGAATTGATGTTGCTTCAGACTCATATAGATTCACCCCTGCTAAAATGCTAGATTCCTTGGCTATTGTTTGAAGCCACTATTGCTTTCTTGTTTATCAAGTTGCTTATGTACTTTTCAGGGCTAGCTAAGTGCCTGAAATTTCCCTTGAAGGAAATTAAGATTTTCCTTTATTTCTATGCTTGGGGGTTGTGGGGGAACCTGCAGGCCCCTAACAAGACATCCCTGCTATGTCTCAAAAATAAGTAGAAAAAAAACATAGAAGAGATGGGATCTTATCATCTTGTATAGCTAAAATTATTCTTCAAGAAAGATACTGTGCTTGACCTCAAGGAAGTGAAATGGAATGAGTATTATGTCTATGCAGTAAGATTTTTAGCTGAATTTAAAAAGGAGTTTAAAAGTTCAGAATTATCACTTTAATGAGTATTTTGAAATTCACAAATTTACTAAGGTTATTTTGGGTCAATTAGAGCAAGTTCATCAAGTGCTCCTTAAATTATTTCTATGATTTTATGCATCAGATTCACCTTAGGAATCTTTCCTCCTGTCTCTGTGGAAAAGGAATAATTCCAAGTAATTAAGAAATGTAAATACAAAAGTCAGATGGAATATCAAAATATTAAATAAACAGTGACTAATAAAGCTGGTTTTGAGAATAAAGTTGAGACTGGAATTAAGCCTTGCAACAGAGTTAAATTTATCTACATAGCTACTAGGAGCCATA